ACACACACACACACACAAGAAACATTTGTTGGCAGTAGATATGCATGTGTAACTTCTCTTCACCAATTTTTGTATTTTTAAGTTGTTGTTTTAAGATGTTTTAAGTAAAGCTGTTCATGTTATTTTACAGGTAACCTTGATTAACAACTTAGAATTGTATGGAATTAATCTTACGGAATTTGCTAGAGAATGTCAACACGGGGTAGCTGCGAGCACTAGTATTAGCAATGTCCCAGGGAAGAAAAGCGCACAACTTATGGTGCAAGGAAATCAAGTGCTGTTTGTTGGAAACCTTCTGACAGGTAAGACTATACGACTTTCAAATATGCGGGATTAAATCGCCACGTCCACAAATTAAGATGATTTGAAATATATTTGCCTCAGCCTATTGTGTATCTTAATAAGCTTTTTATTGGAAAGGAGGATCGCCGAGAATACTAAAGTACCAGAAGTTACATGAACTTTTTAATTATTTTTACCAAGCGTCGTCTTTTTAAAATGATAGAATCATGATTTCCCATAGTTACCTTTAGTCTAGATTCTGCGCTATTTGAACGTGATCCATTGCATCTCTCATCACGTTTAGTTACAGATTCTGCACGTCTCTGAGCAGGTGGGGTAATATGGAGAAGCGCCGGAGCAGCAAAACTAATAGAATGTTCAACAAGATATAATCTTGTGGATTATGGTGTGGAAAAAAGTTTCTTTAAGGCATTTGGCCTAATTGTAGTTTTTATGCCCAATAATGCTTCGTTTAGAAGTTATTTAACTATATAGATTAAAAATTGATGCAGTGTGGCGGGTTGCATTTGACATGAATCCGCCGTCGAGTGGATGGCGTTAAAATTAACAGCACATACACCTGGGTGAAAAACACATAATGTGCCAACTTTCATGGAGATCGTTCACACGGTGTCAGAGTTGATTACAATTAAAAAAACAGATCATTCAAATTAAAAAAACTCAAATATATAGTAGAAGGAAACAAAACACAAAAGCAAATAAATATAAAATTAGGTAAAACCTATACTATTCGCCCTCCTTCTCTACAATATACTCATCATTTCCTCTTCAGCCCTTTCGCTACCCAATAATTTCTACAATAAAAATAAATATATGCATTTGACCTCTCACACGTGTGCGCCCTTCCTGAGAAACTCGCTAAACTTCACTGCCTAGTACTGCACTCTAAATTTGCTCCCTTGAGAACCCTCGAACGCAGAACATGGGTTCTCCTGGGAGAGTCGCAAGTACCTCGGCAAGTACTTGCTGAACTTTACCAAGCTGAATTTCCGTGTAACCGTTCTTAATTTTCTGAATTTTTTGTATTGTTTTCTGCATCTTACCACTATTTAAGTAACATGGCATTTGCTATCTTTAACTGATATCTTTCCAATCCGTTCGCGTACGCCTTCAAAATGAGATAGTCTTTCTATCTACGTATAATTAAAAATTCCTGTTCAGTCGGCGAAATAGTCGAAGAAAAGTTGGGAGAGCATTTGAATAAAAGCTACAACGAAACATCGCCTCTTCTATCAGTGGTTTTTTGTCAGACAAGGGTGTTCTGGAAAAGAGACGACACACAATTGACAAAGATTGTTACTTCGGGAAAGAATTAACGAGTATTAAAGAAATTGTCACAGTTCCCTCTGTCCAAACGAAATTAAACCTTTCCTGGTTTCGTAGTTTTAAATCAGCTTTCTGCATTAGCTTGTGATGACAATGCGAGCAGGCGTCTGAGATAGAAAATCGGCGACTTCCTAGTATTGCGACAATCGCAATTTTACGCGGGGCTGCCCAGGAGCTAATGCGATATTTTGATGACGCTCCGAACTAACAGGAACAGCTGACAATCTACGTCAAGGAACATTGTACGAAAGAAATGAGTATTTGGTCAACAGAGAAGAAATTCGCGCGGCTTTTTGGGAAAAATCTCCGATGCGCCAAGTTTGAAAAGTATAATCCTTGCCTCTGAAACTCCTTCAAAGAACATCAAAATGCCCTGTTAAAAAACAAAGCGCCAAATTTGAAGTAATTTGGCGGTCAATGCGCCAACATTTCCCAATTGGCATTGGCCGCCAATGCGTTCGTAAACTTAGCCTTTTTTACTGTTTAATGCTTTAATTTGGCCTTCCATATCGGGACACAATTATGGGACAAACCGAGGAAGTGAACGCCTGTTTCCGTGTTACAGTTAGCTTTCCAAAATACGCGCATAACTATATGAATAGCTTTCTAAATCTATATAGTATACGTAATGTGATCAGCCCAGCTGAGGCCGCTTCGAATTAATACACCCAGATATTTACAGCTCCATAATTTTATTCGGACCTAATCACAAACGGTATGTTCGAGTCTTCGTAAAACTAATTATTTTTCTTGTATATGGTTTTGTTTTCATTTCGTTTTCCTGGGACATTTCCAAAATTTGTCATTATCTTTTTGCAACTGATAAATGTTTGATTCGTCTTTAATTTTTCTATGCCCGCCTGCCTCGGCGTCATTCTATGATTCTACTCAGGAAAACGTTAAAACTATTACTGGCGTAGATGAATGTGCGCCCTCCGCGGTCCTTTCTATTTTTCCCGGACGCTATAGAGTCGGATCGAAAGATTTCGCCTTTGTGAACATCACATGCAAGCCATGATTCCGCCCCTATTATTACGTCAGGATTGTAAATATCAACTACATTCCTACACATTAATAGCTTACTTGCACAAACGTCTACAGCTACCCTGCAGAAGCGCCCTTGACCCACCAAATATATATTGAAGTGGGACCTTTTTCCACATCGTATTCATTTCCACAGCCGTCAGTCCCCGCGTAGGCGATGATTCTGATGACTCGCCGCCGTCGCCTTCATCGCCGTCATTTCCACCGCCAACTGACATTGAGACTTACAGGTGGCCCCCATGATTTCCCCTCCTTAGTATGCAAAACGGTTACCTTTTCGTGACAGATTGCTGAAGAAGATAATGCCTCAGTTTATTTTTCTCACTGTATCAATCATGTTTAGCTTCCTTCTGCTAGAAATAACTGTACTCGAAGCCCAGAAAATTGCAACCGGTGAACAGCATTTAGTATTGTCAATTTTACTCAGAAAGTCTGTCGTTCGTGATTGACAAGGTTTGGTAGTGACTCACCATCTGGTGAGTGATTTTGAAAGTGGTTTCCCATGTTTCAAGAGTCAAGATAGATTTGCCAAAGAAAATGGACGTACCTGCTATCGGTAGTGAGAGCATGGACGACAAAGTCCATTCGGACCGAGTAGTCAGAGTTTTCAGACTGAGCAGTCTGAAAAATGGTAATGACCTGTTATATCTGCGTTGCTATAACTCCGTTGGATCAAGAATTGTGCACTTGCCCTCTTGAATCCCCGAGATCATCCCCATGTGACTTTTATCAATGAGCACATTTTTTCAGTAAAAAAGTGTTTTGTGCCATCATTTTCTACGACACTAGCTGAATTGAAGAGTTAATTTGGAAAGTGACTTTTCTCCATTTCCGTTTGTTTATCAATATAATCTCAAGGTGCTTTTACATTATGCTCCCAAATATTGTGTGAAAAATTGCGTTTATACGTTAATCGGTTTCCGAAAATCGTTGAATCCTGTCGTGAACTAAGGTTGAATTTGAAAAATTCCCTTTCTGAAAAAATGTTTTTTTCTTGGAGATGAGCCACTTCGGAATGAAGCTCTTCGATCGCACGCATCATTGCCGCCGCTGCCGAAAATGAATTCGCCATGCTTTGAAGGGTTTGGCAGGAACTCGCAGCACGTGGAACGCACATGGTGAATGTATACATTACGTGCTCTCTAAAAGTGTGCGCCGTTCGGACAGTTAGGTCTCATTCACTATGCAAACTTAATTGTAAACGAAACGTAGCCGCAAATCCTAGAAACTAGGTACTAAGCGAGACCACAACAGCTTGACGTAACCGTAGGCGTAAATCCGTAAACTTACGGGCTCACAAACGCCAAGTTTTTATGATAAGTTCGTTTCGAAATACTACTAAAACCAATGAGAGAACTGCATTAAAGAAACAAATACACAACAAAATCCGTGAGAAGCAAATGATCCGTGAAAAGTCGATTGCAGAATACGGTTCAGGGCAGTTTGTGGTTATGTCATTTCATTATTGTAATGTAGAGAACTGGTTTGCGATCGGCTTTGATGCGTATAGTGAATTCAAAGTAAAAGTCGAACAAAATGCTAAAAACCAAGGTGGAAAAATCTTCCATCATGCTAGAAACGAATAGATCAAGTTTCAATACATTGAATTCTGACTCGTTCAGGTGAAACTTACGATCCAGCCTTCGTTTCGTCATTGAGAATGCCTGTTTTTACGTGTAAATTTTACTATAAAGTTTACAGCATTACGTTACGTTGAAGATTGCACTGTGAATGGGAAGCCTTATCTCCCAAGCGATGGCCGCTCGTCCGCCCGGAAGCCGACGCGCGTTCCTCCAACTAGTGCATCATGTGTTGTATCTGCTACAATTAAATTTCCCCGTGGAATTGTGTGTGTTTTTTTGTTTGTTTTTTCTTATGACCTTGAAAAACAAACTTTCTGTATGTGCCTCGTACATGACTTCGACATAAATTCTCTATATTTTACGCCTGAACGTGTTTGAAACACTTTAAATCTAATATAGAACTAGTATATTATTGCTATTCCAATATTTATACGTCAATTTATTCTTTCAATATTAAAAAGGAAATAGTTCATTAGCTCCGTTTTACTCCACACCATTAGAAAGCAAACCCACGTTCTACAAGTTTGAAGCAAGTGGAGCTTCCAATTTCAAGTTTTCGAACTTTCTAACAGGATTCCTATTGGATCTGTGTGGAAGCGAAAGCATAAATGTAAATTCAGTAATCTTCCATTGACTTGTCAATCGCGAACTGGAGTGTGGCATCACCATTCTCGTGTTCATAAGGTCATTGCCAGCAGGGAATCTGTCATCATGAACGAAAGAACGTCCCAATGAGCCCACGTCCTTGGCAAGAAAACTTCGCCACAAACTTCTCCTCCTTCCACCACATCCTCTTCGGCTTCCCTCACCTCCTCCTCCCCCGACACCCCCTCTCCCAGCCTCTTCCTTGGTCCCATTCCCCATCCCC